TGTCAATAATATTCTTGAGAATATTATAAATTCCATAAACCATTTCTCCTATTCCAGAAACTCCAATTAAACTTCCAAAATTCATATCGCTCAATTCGCAACTCCGATTGACTCCGTTCCACTTCCAGTATTTCCATAAAATTGAGATCTATTTAATGGCACTATTAATTAGGCTAAATAGGATCTTTCTTTTGGTCCTTTGTTTAGGTTTTCGATTGTTTGCGTATAGTTGCGGTTATCGGATTTTCTTCGATCGCGGGTTTTCTCGAAGATTCGTGAAGCTACGTGAAGACCTTGAGCAAGGCAAGTCACCCTTTGATCAATTGCCCCTATAATTGAAAAGTTATTATTATTTTGTTTGCAACTTGCATTATTAGAATCACACACTCAACTTGCTTGGCCTCGGTTTGCGTGCCAAACCGACGGACCTACCCAGTAGTCGCACTAATTTCCGTAGGTCGTACTACCCTGATTCCTTGTCGCTCCACCCTTGTGGTATCTCAGTATTCGTGCTCTCTGAGCGCGTATACCAAATATCCCACATACACCGTTGTTTGTCGAAAATTTGGGAAATGGGTTTGTGAAGCCTTCAAAACCCGACATGTGGTGTCGGTGTGTTTGAAAATAAAATGAATTGTGAAAACTCACGATGCGGGGGTTGTGCCTATGTGGCACTGTCCCGTATTCGCATATAAGGACTGATTCCTGTGGGAAACTCATCGAACATAATCAAAGTGCAACCACAAGGTGGAATGGGACACCCTGGCTAAGTAACTAGTCGGTTCAGGGAAACCTCGCATGCCAATAGTTGGGAACGCCGGGGCGGGGTCGGTTGGAGCCAAACCGGGTTCCTGGTAATGCAAGAACGAGAAGCTTGCTGAATTACCGATCGAGGTGGTTGGAGTTGGATTTGTGAACGCCTAAAATGGCCTATGTTTATGTGAGGATTTGATCCTTCTATGTGGCATGAGGTATCCCTAGGTCGGCTTGGGAAAGGCTTTGTCGTGAACCTCTGACACCGGCCAGTGTTTGGAGTAAGTTCGTGTCTTGTGGGTAAAGTGTACCCCTCTGCAGAGGTTAACTAACTGTTCGAACAGCCGTGCCCACGGTCATGGGCGGATGTGAGGTGGTTCCCGTTGCGTAGATTTGTTTGCCTGTGCTTTGTGAAAAGTTGTTGTGGTGTGGGAATCGTAACCAGAATCAGCCTATGTGGCAGATGGACGACCTGAGTGGTCAGAAACGAATCTGTGTGATTCGGGATGTCTGCGGGCATCATAGATTAGGCTTCCCGAGTGGAAGCAGATTGTTGTGCTGCTGGGAAGCTGGACTCCGGGAGTCTGAGAAAATGAAAAAGGCTCTGGGAGCCGATTAATCAAGTGGAATGGCTCTGGGAGCCGAGAAGTAATGATCTGACCCGGGAGGTCGGTACATTACCAATGTGCTGTTGAAAAACATCTCTTAAAGTCGAATCGAGACGCAAGTCTCCTCTCGGCCCAAACTTAGAAAGAAATAAATCACTTAGTGATTTTAAAATGTCTTCAAATAAAAGATTTGCAAAACAACCTTGCCTCTCTTCCAAGCTTGCATTAAACACCTAAGTTCCCGTGACTTGCTGAGTACGAAAGTACTCACCCTTGCTCTATAAATATATATATATATATATATATATATATATATATATATATAGTTCCCCCGCCCTGAAGAGAAGACAAAGTGAATTGAAGATTTGGGTTTCGTCCTGGTTCCCAGCCGTCGCCTGTGGTGTTGGGTGTTAGACCGTTGGTTCCGCTGCTGCTGTTGTTGTTGGTGTTCGCCTTGTCCGTGTCGTCGGTTGTATTCTCGGGCTGTCTGAGCTGCAACCTAAGTTAAGGTAAATAAGTCCTCAATTTATTTTAAGGATTGCTATGAATCATATTTGTCACCGTGGGTACCAGCACTATGTCCTGGGACTGGTACCGAGATCGCGGTTTCGTAGGAAGCGGTTCGCGCCGTTTTCCCTACGACACGCTCCTGTCAGGTGCCGTTGTACGGCGGTATCAGATTGGGGTGTGACAGGTATGGAGATGCATTGCAAGTACTGCAATGAGGCAGGCCACAACCAAAGGGGTTGCAAGTTGAAAAAAGCTGGACTCAGGCCCAATCAGCAACCAAAGAAGTCTATTCAAAACCCTGAAGTCATCACAACAGAGGTAATGCCATCTTTTATTCAATGATTTCCTTCTAAAATCAAAACTTTACATTTACCATGTCTTCTCTGTAGGTGCAATCTCAATCTCAGGTGCAAACTCAGTCTCATGTTGAATCTCAGTCCCAGCAGTTGCTGACACAGGTTAACAATGCAATGGTATCTCAGATGTTTGAGGAGTCCTCCCAAGTTACTTAAATAAACTTGGCACCTGGGCCTCTGCCTGACAACCAATTTGTCATGGCAAACCAACCAACAGGCAGGCCAATGCCTCTAACCACAGCAACAAAGGAAGGAAAGCTGAGAGCAACAAAAAGAAAGGCTGCAGGTGATGGTCCTGGAAAGAGAGCTACCAAGAAGAAGTATAACTGCTGATAGAACTACATAAGAGCTAGGCTAGAGAGCTATCAGTACTTTCTTTTGTAATGACAAATGATGGTGTCAATCTGATTATGGCTGCCATGTCTCCTTTAGTAATTATGGAAGAAATGGCTGACATCTTTTATTTTGTAATGCCAAACTGAATCCAGGCATTAACTACATCTTCTCTGTTCTGGCTACATATTCTCTGAATGCAATTTTTGATTATGGCTTAAATTTCTCATTCGGTCTTAATTTTGCAATGCTCTACTATCATTGTCTGAACTTTGAAAAGTTCTACTGTTTGATGTGCACATGTATTATTCTGAGCCATGCATGTGCAAATGAACTACAGATTCAACAGAGACTGATGGATGTGCACATTATTTGTTCAGTGCAAACATAAGAAAGTTAAAAACTTCATCCAAAATTCAGAATTGAAATCTAACATTGCTCATTCATAGCACATTGCACATTGCACTTCATTTGAAACATCACATTTTTTTCTGCATTGTTTTTCCTGAATACAAATTCACTTCACATAGCACATTGCACATACATCACTTAAACCACAAAACAATGCAAATACACAGTAGCAGACCAACTAAACACACACCACCAGCTTGGATCAGCTTCAACAACACCATCATCTTGGTCAAAATGAAAATCATATTTTCCAGCTGTTTGAAATGTCCAACATCGGGTTCCTTCTTGAATTCCTGAGCACTGCTCTTCTTCATCTCATCTCCATCCTTCATTTTGGCCTCTTTCAGCAACTCTGCACAGGTAGCTTCATCAATGAAGCCACTCCTCTTCAGGAATTTGATGTAGGCTTCCTCCCAATACCAGAAATTACAACCACTTCCATCCTTCTATACATTTCACAGATTGCAACATGTAAATTTCAAGCATGACAAAAATCCACAAAGGGCACTTTATCAAAGGCTAGAGATTTACCACGTGGTCTGGGCATGTGAAGAAAATGCGACCTCGATTAGCTTCCGTGGTCGCGATTAGCTCCAAGATCTGCTTCACCCCGCATGAAGGGCACCTAATCAGCGGGATTGAGGGCCTCCTCCTCCTGCGACTTGAGTGGCTCGAGCTGCTTGCAGAAGCCATGCCAACGACGATGAACACACCTCGGCCGAGTGCCCTCCCTCGCCGTTGACTCTCAGCCAGAAGCCCTCCCTCGCCATCGACTCTCAGCCGCCCTCCCACGCCCTCACTCACCGTCAACTCTCAGCCGCCCTCCCACGCCCTCACTCACCGTCGACTCTTAGCCGCCATCCCACTCCCTCACTCGCCGTCCAGAGGAGAAGAGAGCAGAGAAGAGAGGGCTAGGGTTTGGAGAATTCGAGGGAACTGAGGGGCTTAGATGAAAAAGTGCACGGTGCGGGGCGGTGCGGTGTGGCATCACACGTGTCGCGACACGTTGTTGTCCACGTATGCACGAAACGGGTCAAAGCGTTCTCTGGACCGGATTGATACAATAAAACAAGACTAGTGACCTTGACCCCGTGTTTGTAAGTTCATGGACCTGGATGAAACCTGCTCACAAGTTTAAGGACCGCCAGTGCAATTTACTCTTATTAATATATACTCCATCCGTAAAAAAAAAACCAAACTTGATCAGTGGAAAAATACTCGGATGGCCTCCTTCGGTCTTTCCCAATAAAAAAAAAATCAAACGCATACCATAACGTGAGACATTCTAATACAACAAATCATACATGATGTGCTACATCCTAATATGAGTTGATCTTTTTTAGGACGAAGGGAATACTACTATAGTTGCTAGAGGTAATTAATACATACAACCTGTATATATGTGGTACAAGATCTACTCAACTTCCGACAAAGACATGAGGACTAAACTACTCCTAGTAAGATTTGTGAGCGAGTTAGGTGGTGTTTGAATTCAGGGGCTAAATTTAAGTTCCTGCCATAGGAGATGTTTGAACACTAATTAAAAGTATTAAACGTAGACTAATAATAAAACTTATTGCATAAATGAGAGCTGATTCGTGAGACAAGTTTTCTAAGCCTAATTAATTTATTATTGGCACTAGCATCACATAGGCTAATCATGGATTAATCAGACTCAATAGATTCACCTCGCGAATTAGTCCATGGTTATGGAATAGATTTTATCATTATTCTGCGTTTAATATTTCTAATTAGTGTCAAACCATCAAATGTGATGGCATCCAAACAGGCCATTAGTAAGATTCGTGAGCGAGTGGAGGGTGGCACCACGCGACCAAATTGGCAAATTGTCGGATCAATGAAGATCCATTATCTAAAAGAAATTGGCAAATTGTCCCATCGTACAATCGGAGCGCTGGCGCTCCACGGTCCCCGTCGCGGGCAGCGTCTCAATGCGCTGAGATCACGGCTAATTATTCGGCGAATAGTCTTCAACAGGGAAACCCAACCAGCGAATCACGACGTGCCCAAACTCCGAATTGTTCTCGATCAAACCGTCTTTTCTGCTCATTTTTCCACATTTTGACCACCTAGTCGAAATTCGCCACCTCTACTGCGATACTTCTAGTACAAGTGTCACTGGTCGTGTAGTGAATTTTAACCTTATCTCGCAGGCAGCTAGTGTGATCAATCACGAGTTGTTGTATTCAATTATCCATTATTAGCTACTAGCTAGCTAGTCCAACTAATAGAGTGTTGCGCCGAACGAACACTACTGCTGCAGACGGTGATCAGCTAGAGAGCGAGAGTATGGCGACGCTGGCGCCGGCGCTGGTGCTCCTGCCGGAGTGGGGCTCCGGCCACCTCATGTCCATGCTCGAGTCCTGCAAGCGCGTGCTCCTCGCCGGCGCCGGCGGCGGCAGGGAGTTCTCCATCACGCTGCTCGTCATGCGCCCGCCCACCGACGAGGCGGGCTCCGAGGTCGAGGCGCACGTCCGCCGCGAGGCCGCGTCGGGCCTCGACATCCGCTTCCACCGCCTCCCCGCCGTCGACCCGCCCGCCGACGCCGCCGGCGTGGAGGAGTTCATCGCGCGGTACATCCACCTGCACGCGCCGCACGTCAGGGACGCCGTCGCCGGGATGGGGCGCCCCGTCGCCGCGCTCGTGCTCGACATGTTCGCCGCGCCCATGGTCGACGTGGCGCGCGACCTCGGCGTGCCGTCCTACGTCTTCATGTCGTCCACCGGCGCCATGCTCGCGCTCATGCTGCACCTCCCAGTGCTCCACGACCGGGTCGCCGTGGAGTTCCACGAGGTGGACGGGGAGGTGGACGTGCCCGGCCTGCCGCCTCTGCCGCCGGCGTCCATGCCGTGCCCGGTGGTGGACAAGAAGAGCCCCAACTACACGTGGTTCGTGCGCCTCGGCGACCGCTTCATGGACGCCACGGGCATCATCGCGAACACCGCCGACGAGCTCGAGCCGGGGCCCCTCGCCGCCATCGCGGACGGCCGGTGCGTGCCGGGGCGCGCCGCGCCGCCAGTGTACCCCATCGGCCCCGTGCTCTCGCTCGGCGGCAACGACAAGAGGGACAGCTCCGAGCCGCCGCACGAGTGCATCGCGTGGCTCGACGGGCAGCCGCCGGCGTCGGTGGTGTTCCTCTGCTTCGGGAGCATGGGCTGGTTCGAGGCGGCGCAGGTGGTGGAGATCACCGCCGCGCTGGAGCGTTCCGGCCACCGCTTCCTCTGGGTCCTGCGTGGCCCGCCGCCCGCCGCCGAGTCAGGCACCGGCGCGCCCGACGGGTCGGAGCACCCGACGGACGCGAACCTCGACGAGCTCCTCCCCGAGGGGTTCCTGGAGAGGACCAAGGGGAGGGGCATGGTGTGGCCGACGTGGGCGCCGCAGAAGGAGATCCTCGCCCACCCGGCCATCGGCGGCTTCGTGACGCACGGCGGGTGGAACTCGGTGCTGGAGAGCCTGTGGCACGGCGTGCCGATGGCGCCGTGGCCGCTGTACGCGGAGCAGCACCTGAACGCGTTCGAGCTGGTGCGCGACATGGGCGTGGCCGTGCCGCTCGGGGTGGACAGGGAGCGGGACAACTTCGTGGAGGCGGCGGAGCTGGAGCGCGCGGTGAGGTCGCTGATGGACGATGCGTCGGAGGAGGGGAAGAAGGCGAGGGAGAAGGCGGCGGAGATGAAGGCCGTGTGCCGGAGCGCCGTGGCGGCGGGCGGCGGCTCGTCGCACGCCGCGCTGCAGAGGCTCTCCGAGGCGCTGCACCAGGGCGCGGCGCTCCCGAAGAACTGAGCATACGTGAAAATTGTTGCACGTCACGTTTTCGAAGTCGAAGTAACAAGAGATGATGCCGCTTGTACTGTTTGTGCCATATGCGTGTCTTGTTTGCACTACAGTAACACTGAAATGCAGTCTTGTACTCGGGTCATTATTAATGATGATTTTCTATGGACTTGACTCCTCTCAGGCTCTCGGCACCGTTTCTGCTGATCTGCACTCTGCAGCCTTACTCAGTTTAGTTATCAACTTTTTCTTCGAACTTTCAACTTTTTTATCACATTAAAACTTTCCTACACATATAAACTTCTAACTTTTTTTTCTTCAAACTTCTAATTTTAATCAAACTTCTAATTTTAACGTGGAACTTGAAAGGGTTAATAAGGCCTAGAGGGGGGGTGAATAGGCCAATTTTAAACTTTATGCGGAAACTAAAACTGAAATAAGGTCGGAAAGTCTGATCCACGATCAGACTATCCGAAAATATCAGATAGTCTGATGTTGGATCAAACTGTCTGATCCACTAATGAAGCACAACAAATAGATCTATCACACAAACAAGAGTAAAGCACAAACAACGACTAGATCTATAGCGGCACAATTAAGCAAAGCTAAAAGGAGGATGAAGGGAGATCACCAATGATGAAGTTCACGAAGTTGTTCCCGGAGTTCAAATCCTTGAGGGGATTCTACTCTCCGTTGAGGAGCTCACTAAGAGCCAGGTCTTTGCTAACCCTTTCCTCAAGAGGTTGCACTAAGCACTCCTCATTCCACTAAGGGTTATCTCTTTCCTTGCGAAGGCGAGATCCGGCCTCCACAAACTTCTCCCGGCCAACCACACGTAGATCGGTAGCTCGGGAGTGACACCTAGCCGTCTAGGAGTACTCAACCTCCAAGAGTAACAAACACCACACAACTCTTGGTCAAACCCTAGCGCTCAAGATCGAGTTAAACACACACTAGGCCCTCAAACACCAAATCCACAACCACCAAGATCCACCATACAAAGAACGAGAAGGGATTTGAGAAAGGGAGAAAGAGCTCAAAGATCCAAAGCACCTTAGCACCAAGCTCAACCCAAAGTGAATGAGAATGACATGAGTTGGGTAACCTTAGAAAAAGGTTAGGTGGGGGGGTTTATATAGATCCCCCAAAATATGACTGTTGGAGGGAAATCTTTCAGCCCATGTCGGATAGTCCGATATTTTAAACCTCTAAGGCAACGAGAAACAGAGAACGAAGTTCCATGAAATTTCGGACTTTCCGAGACATCGGATTATCTGATGTTAAATCGGAGTGTCCGATATTATAGAAGCAAAAACTTCGTCCTCAAACAGAGACTCAAGTTCCATAAAATTTTGGAGTCTCTGTATCATCGGACTATCTGATCCAACATCAGATACTCTGACACATCGAAAAACTCACTCGAAAGGATTTTTCAAACAAAGACTGAGAGTGAAGTTATGTGAAAAATCGGATAGTCCGATACATCGGATAGTCTGATGTTGCTCAAGTAAAAATGCAATAACTTTTTACTCCGAACTCCGATTTCGAAGATCTTGGACTCTACGGAAAGCTAGTTTCGTGGGCTATCAAACCCAACATAAAACATGGTCCAAAACCTTCAAGAGATGTTGAAAAACTTGAAAAGAAACCCGGTGTAAGTGTTGTGACAAGTGAAACAACTCGGAATTGAAATTTTGGCTTAGGTTTTTCAACTCACACAAAGATGAAGCATTTTGAGCACTAGTGTTCTACCAATAATATGCATGTGGTATCCCTCTTAATAGTACGACATTCCTACGACACAATGCAAGGTAAAAGATACAATATACCATTTGATCATTGCCGCATTGCATCGTGATGTCGCATTCACGGGGTATGCATCTTATTACAACATGTTGAGGACATAACAACCTTCACATTTGCTTGAATAAAAGTGTTAGTCCTCTCTAATCGCATTGTAATCAATCATCAAAATTATTAGGTGCCTAGATGCACTTTCAGAACTAAACACAGTCTCAGAGTCTGGACACGACCTTATAGACCTAAATCCAGATCCTTTAAGTGCATCATCAACAGATTAGTAATAATACAACCCAAAATTCTGCTTTTAGGTTTTCTAAATTGAATATAAGAAGTGAAAATACTCACCCCTCCGAAAGAAAACCTAAAATTGATTTCCTAAAACAAAAAAAAACTGGGTCAATTAAACTAGGAAAAATATCGAATTACGACCTGAACTATTGTGGCAATCCGAATTACCCTTCTCAATTCAACAAACAGATATTCTTCATTCTCAAACTATTCATACTGGACGAATTACTCCCTCCTCGACTCCAAAACGATTTGGTCTTATGTAACGCACATGTGGCAGTCCACTGAGCATAAAAAAGTTAAAAAACATGGTGGGGGTCCACTTATCAGTTCAGCTTCTTTACTCGGTCACCACCTTTTTTATATTTTTTATACTGACTGGACGGTCACATATGTGTCACGTAAAATCAAAACCGGTCCGAAGTTTGTCAGGAGTAATACGTTCTATAAAAAGTTGAAGGTGAATAATGTTTGGTTTTTGAATTTGCTAGGGGACGGGATACCGTCCCCCAACGAGATGCTCCTCCTCCACGACGTGATTCTCACCCACGCGACGCGGTCGAAGCCTTCAACGCGCACCAGGCCTCCTCTGTAGTGCCACACCTGCCCCCCGCTGCCGCCGTCGCGCTCATCCCTGTCGCCGCCGCCGTCGCGCCCACGCCGCCCGTCTTTCACCCTCAACACGCACCAGGCCTCCTTTGCGGCGCCGTCGGCTCAGGCTCGGCCTACCGTGGGGGCGGAGGTCCCAACATTCGCGGAGTTCTCGCAGGCAGAGCTTCGGGCTGCCATGGGTGGGTTCGCGGCGTCGAACATTGTGTCAGAGAGCGGCGAGAAGGCGTCCAACCTGGTCTACAGGGGACGGCTGCAGGGGGCTGGCCGCGCCGTCGGAATGCTCCTCCCCCAACAGGATGCCCAGCTATATCTAGTAGGAATCACCTGATACCTGATAACTCGCGAGTATCATGCGATTCATGGTAGAAATCGTCTGATACCTGACACGTATCACATGATACCTCACGAGTATCATGCGATACGTGGTAGAAATCGTCTGATACCTGACAGGTATCACATGATAACTCGCGAGTATCACGTGATACGTGGTAGAAATCGCATGATACCTGATAAATATCACCTGATACTCGCAAGTATCACCTGAAACGTGTGTAGAATCGTCTGATACCTGATAGGTATCACACCTGATACTTATTCAGGATCATCCCGTTCGAAAACGGGATTTCGTTATATAGCAACCCTCTTTATATAACCATAATAGTTTAGTTTGAGAGGGTAATTTGGATTTTTTTTCCCACTAAACTACTAACAGAAATCCCGTTTTTCTCCTGCTCCCGTGCGGAGCGCGATCGCGCGTCCCTTCCCCGAAACCAATCTCCCCCCACGTGCTCCTGCCTAACGCAGATCTCCCCAGCGCCATCAGGAACCAAGCAGCAGGAACCAACAGTTGTTTTCATCTAGCAGCCATCATGAGCGCTATTCCAGCGGCTTTCGTCATCAAACCGCCATACTAGGAGTAGCTTTCAGCACAGTACAGTCATCAACCATCACGAAGAAAGAACAGCGACAGAGCAACCACACATCAACACGACAAGGTGCATCAGGCAACTCAGGAAATTGAAGCAATCAACAGCTCAGCTCCATAGCAGCAGCAAGATCAATAGAAACACAACCCTTATGAGAGTTACACCTCATGCTTGCTGGACAGAAATGAACTAAATTTGAAACACTAAATCATTGCAATTCCCTAAATGCTGGATGTATCTTAAAGAGAAATATAGCATCAGATCAGCTTCTGTAGTCCGAATGGAAACTCAAGTTAAAACAGAAATGACATACTGAACATTTTATTTGTCAGACCAAAATTTGCCAAAATGTTCTATATATCTAAATCTTTGAGGTAACAAGAAAAACACTGAACAATTATTTATCGTCTCATGTTTTCAGCTTACTATTTTCCAGAACAATCAACCTACATACCATCTTGTGTTCAGAAAAATCAACCTACATACCTACACACTGCATTTTTCTTGATGAGTGGAAGACAAAATTATTTCCTTGGCTTTGCCACATCTCTTTGGTTCATCTAATTCTACTGTACTGCCACTGCTAGTGTACTACTCCTACTTACCAGCTTATCCATAAAAAAGTCCCAACTTAGTTTCATCAGCTACATCATTCCATCACAGAGTCATCGCTGGAAATTTCATAACAGTGAAATTTTACTTATAGAAAACTTACATGGTTTAAGTTTCATTTTTATATCACAGGCAATTTCATTGCTCAGCTTTGAAACAAAACCAAAAACAAACAGGAACAGAGTCTCATGGTACTGGAATAAAAAAAGTTCAGGTAAACACAAAAGCCACTACCGGGGACAACAGCAACCATCAAGCTCATTCTCGCCTGATAGACCTAGCACACAATTTCATACATACACCAATGTCATGAACATTTGTCAGTTGGTAGTACATTTGTCACCGAGCTATAGCACGTGAAAAGAGCAAGTACAATATTTTTTGAATATTTATTGGATGAACGATAGAGACTAGAGAGAATTACAAAATGATCCCATAGCAAGTAGTAACATATTACAAGATAGCTATTGCATTACCGATATAGGTCCCTTTTGGTTCAGATTAGATTTCTTTTCTAATGGTTTGTATTAGACCTCAAATTAATTTAAGATGAGAATCCTAATTCTATTTCATACAAATAAAAAAATTACTAAAACCATTTCTTTTTTGATATCCTCGTTAGGTTTAGACTTATTAGTTTAGACTTTCAAGATGATTTCTGTTTTCCTTTCAGAATTTAAAAGTCAGTAGCTTTTTACGACTTAAGTTTAAAGGTGAAGTCCTACCTTCACTTTTTATAAGGAAAAATTAGAAACCTACATCAACCTATCTTTTAGTGTAAAAATAATTTATGACTTAAAAAATCAAATGAAAAGATACATGCTTGTTTAGCTTGATTTTTTGAAATCCTGCTTTAAACTTTTGAAAAATTGTAAAAATTCAACAGTTCTGTTATATGTTTGCTTTGGCTTTAGGGTTTGACTTGTAAGCCGACTCACCTCGTGTGTTCGTTTGGTCAGGTTGGGAACTAGCACGTAAAATGGAGCGACTCATTAGCACATAATTAATTAAGTATTTGCTATTTATTTTAAAAAAAGAATTAGTATGATTTTTTGAGAGCAACTTTTATATAGAAACTTTTTACAAACAACGCACTGTTTAACAATCTGAAAAATGTGTGCATGGAGAACGTGGACGGTGAGTTCCGAGGATAGATTCTAATCTCTCAGGTGGACATCCACCCGTTTCTTTCATGCCACCTAAATGATTATGAAAAAATTCGAAAAAATTTTATAAGATAGGTTAATATGTAAAATATCACTTCACAAACATGCAAGTTCAAATTCGACTTCTACAAGTTGTAACAAAAATAAGAAATTAAACTCTAACTAGTATACGTATATTCACAGTCAGATTTGTTATTTTTGTTACAATTTGTAGAAGTCGAATTTGAACTTGCATGTTTGTGAAGTGATATATTACATATTAATCTATCATGTCAATTTTTTTTAAAAAAAATTCATAATTATTTAGATGTCATGCAAAAAATGGGTGGACATCCATACGAGTGTTTAAAACAGTTTCCCGGTAAGTTCCTCGTAGACTAGACAAAGATGGCCTCACTTGAGGGGAGTGGATTTTGATCTCGAGGGGATATCCCCTTATTGTTGAATGTCACTTAAATAGTTATTAAAAAAATTGAGAAGATGTATTAACATGTAATATATCAGTCCACAAACATACAAGTTCAAAATCAACTCCTATATCTCATAAAAAAATGTTTTTTTCCCCTCACGTGAGCTATAGCCTATAGTCAGCGGCTACCGCTCTTGTTGTGCTTGCTCTAAACAGTCTTGCGGCTACATTTATTATTTTATTTGCGTACTTTCTCTAAACTACAACAATTCAGTGCCGCTTTGTAGATAAGGTGCCTAATTCTACTGTTCCGTGTAGAAAGTGCTTCGGCGATTTGAGCTTTGATCTAGTAATAAGATCTACCGTAAAAAGTTACCACCGGATACGCATCACTTCATGAGAATCGTCCCAAATCCCACAGGCCCAGATGGGCCGGAGAACGTGTGGTGCAACGCAACGCAGAATTGGTACCTACCCACCGGTGGTTGTACACACGCAGCTCGCGCGTGCTTTGGATGCAACCAACAACCGCAATAATTCACTCACCTTTTATAGCTTCTTCGCAACTCCAAACTTCCCGAGCATCTTATCTTTGCAGCTAATAGTAGCCATCTCGCACTAAAATGGCGATCCCGACCCTCGTGCTGCTGCCAACCTGGGGCACCGGCCACCTCATGTCCCTGCTCGACGCCGGCAAGCGGCTGCTCGGCTGCCGCGGCGGCGGAGGCCTCTCGCTCACGGTGCTCGTCATGCAGCCGCCGAGGAAGGAGTATGCGTCCGCCGTCGCCGCCACCGTGCGCCGGGAGGAGGCATCGGGCCTCGACATCCGCTTCCGCCACCTCCCCGCCGTCGAGCCCCCGACCGGCTGCGCGGGCGTCGAGGAGTTCGTCTCCCGCTTCGTGCAGCTCCACGCGGACCACGTGAGGGCGGCCGTCTCCGGCCTGGACTGCCCGGTGGCCGGCCTCGTCATCGACTTCTTTTGCACGACGCTGCTCGACGTGGCCCGGGAGCTCGCCGTCCCGGCCTACGTGTACTTCACCTCCAATGCCGCGTGCCTCGCTCTCTTGTTGCGCCTGCCGGCGCTGGAGGGGGAGGTCACCGTGGAGTTCGAGGAGATGGACGGCGAGGTGGACATCCCTGGGTTGCCGCCGGTGCCGCCGTCGTCGCTGCCGATGCCGGTGATGGACAAGAAGAACCCGAACTACACGTGGTTCGTGTACCACGGCAGGCGTTTCATGGAAGCCAACGGCATTATCGTCAACACGGTGCGCGAGATCGAGCGGAGCGTCCTTGCCGCCATCGCCGACGGCCGCGTCACGCCGGGAGTCCGTGCCCCGGTGATCCATCCGGTAGGCCCGGTGATCTCGTTCACCCCGCCCTCCGATGACCCGCCGCACGAGTGCGTGCGGTGGCTCGACGCGCAGCCTCCGGCCTCCGTCGTGTTCCTCTGCTTCGGGAGCATGGGCAGCCTCGCGCCGCCGCAGGTGCTCGAGGTGGCGCACGGCCTGGAACGCAGCGGGCACCGGTTCCTGTGGGTGCTGCGCGGCGCTCCGGCCGCCGGCGGCAGCATGAATCCCACCGACGCCGATCTCGACGAGCTTCTCCCGGAGGGTTTCCTGGAGAGGACGACGGGGAGAGCTCTCGTGTGGCCGACGTGGGCGCCGCAGAAGGAGATCCTCGCGCACGCCGCCGTGGGCGGGTTCGTGACGCACGGCGGGTGGAACTCGACGCTGGAGAGCCTGTGGTTCGGCGTGCCGATGGTGCCGTGGCCGCTCTACGCGGAGCAGCACTTGAACGCGTTCACGCTGGTGGCCGCCATGGGCGTGGCCGTGGCCATGAAGGTGGACAGGAAACGGAACAACTTCGTCGAGGCGTCCGAGGTGGAGCGCGCGGTGAGGTCGCTGATGGGTGGGTCGGAGGAAGGGAGGAAGGCAAGGGAGAAGGCGGCGGAGATGAAGGCCGTGTGCCGGAAGGCTGTGGAGGAGGGTGGGTCGTCGGACATGGCGGTGCACAAGCTCTACGAGGAGCTCTCCACGCAGACGGCTTAAAATACTACTCTCTCTGTTCCGTTTCAGGTTATAAAATATTTTGACTTCACTTAAAGTTAAATTATTTAAAATTTGATTAAGATAATAGCTGCTGCATGAACCGGGAGATGAAGTCCTCGCCGCCGCGGAAGTCCGGGAGCTCCTCGGCGGGGAGGCAGTGGAACCGGACGTCGAAGCCGGAGTGCTCCGACGCGCCGGCCGCTTCACGGCGGATGATCTCGTCGATCTCGGGCGCGCGGTGGGACTCCGGCAGCTGCGCGAGGAGCACGGTGGGCGACATGGCGCCGCGGCCGTCGTCGGCGTTGCCGCAGAAGCCAACGCGGAGCATCCGCTTGCCGACTTCCAGCATGGGCGTGAGGTGGCCGGGGACGCAGAACGGGATCAGCACCACCGTCGCTGGGCTCGCCGTGGCTGGAGCCATAGCTCACAGATTACGCGCGGGAAGCAGGCCGGAAACGAGATTGTGTTGCGTGCTTTCGTGAGGCTTACAGCGTTTCTTCTTTCTTCTTTTCGCGTGCACATGGGGTGCCTCAAATGGGGATGTCTAACATGAATGAACAGACACTGATCGGCCACCGGCCGCGTCACTAATGCACTGTTTGGTTGGTTGGTTGTCTAACATTCAAATATTCCTGGCTACTTTAAATTACTTCCTCCGTCTTAAATTATAGCTACCTAGTACACTGTCCAGATTTCTAGTACTAGGTAATGTCCCATCCAGATAGCTACATTTTGGAAAAGGGAAGTAGAACATATGCGATGTGGGTTTTTGAGAAGTTCCTAAAGAAGGAGGGTAGATTTTAAACTCTCAAGGTGATGTCCCCTTATTGTTTGTATATCACTTGAATAGTTGTGAAAATTTTTTGACAAATTTGAGTAATGTATTAACATGTGATATATCACTCATAAACATACAAGTTAAAATTTAATTTCTACATGTGTAATGAAAAAAACAAATTGTCGATGTTTGGGATCGTGACTACGGTATTTACATATTATGGAGATCGTTGGTACTAGGGTATATGCGAAATTGAGGTAAAAGAGATGGAGACAGGGATTTTTATACAGGTTCGGGCCTCATATTTGACCGGTAATAGCCCTACATCCTGTTGGCCGAAACCGGTGTTGCTCTTTATTCATCTGGATCACACAAGTAAAATATTTGGGATAACATATTTAGCTGTCGTCAACTTGGCGGCTAGATAACCAACTCGTAGTCGACGACAGCGTAGTCTTCCTCCTCGAATCCGTACTCGGCGAGATCAAAGATAGCGCTAGATCTCTCTTGTTGGCCTCCACAGACACCATATTGAGTTTGTCTAGGCTTAACTCTGATATCGATATCTGACGACTTGTCTTGGCGTGTGTTGGCTTGTATTAATCTATGTTGATCTTGGTTTTGTGGCTTGTCCCCTCTCCTCCTAGAGGGGCTTGTATTTATACCCATAGATGCCCTTTTGTCTAAGTAAAATTAGGGAGACCAATATAGATACAATCCGATTTGTCTTTATCGTTTCCATATAGAACTTTATTCGTCCTTCCTTATCCGGAACTTCTTCTATATATGAGGGGTTTGTTTCCGTATAAGACATGGTATGTGGTGGGCCCTGTCGAGCTTAGTCAACTAATATTAGGTATGTGGTATCCATAACTCTGACACAAATTTAACTATGGATATACGTTAACTAGTTTTAGTTTAATTTGTTTTTCCGTTGCAAGATGCAGAACTTGAATTGAATTTAAACTTACATATTTGTATAGTGATATATCACATATTAATATATATTTTTAATTTTTTTTATAACCATTTACGTGACATGTAAAAAACGAACGAACATCCCCTAGATTTTAGAATAATTTTCCCCTAAAGAAGAGAGAAAGAGATAGTACCCACCCTAAACATTGTATAGATGTTTTGTCAACCGATTCTAAGATGGACGGTACTAGCTCTAGTATTTAGTACCTTGTCCCATAGGAGAGACAGAGAGAGAGTTTAGAACAATTGTTAGGTTCTCCAACTTTTTTTAAATAGTAGTGGGTCTCACATATGCCCATTTAAGAGTCTTTTCAGACCCATCGTTTCACTTATTGGGAGAATAAGCTAGCGAAACAACATATTTGCAAACGAAAAATAATTTGTGAACACAACTTTTATATATGTGTTCCTAGTGATCTAAAAGCAAAGGCTGAAAACTAAACTTCGATGAAAAAACCCCTAAAATTAACTCCAAATTTAAGGTCGAAAATTCAAATTTTGGCTGATAAGCATAAATATAAGCGAAAAAAATGAGGCCCAAATATATATATATATATATATATATATATATATATATATATATATATATATATATATATATATATATAACTACGATGGAAGCCCGCGCAAGTAGCGCGAGCACCATATTTAATATTCCATAAAAAAATTACAGTAAATAATTGAATATTTAATTTTAGGTGATTTAAAAGTAACTATCTTTTCTTAAAAAAATATCAAATTTTTTACGAGCATTCTTTAATGGTTTTGTCGAAAGGACCTAATTTAAATTATTAAAGCTATGGAACATTATTTCTGCTCCGGGTCTAGTGGAGTCTTGGGGACGTGAGTCGTGACGTCCTCGCATAGAGCCCCTGTCTCGTAGCCACTTTGATCCCCTCCCTCCTCTCTCCAATGCCCGCGCTGATGACGATGGAGAGGGGGATCTTGTCTCTGTTCTGGTTCAGTAAGCTTTATCCCTCCCTTCTCTCTCCAATGCCCGCGCCGATGACGATGGAGAGGGGGATCTTGTCTCTGTTCTGGTTCAGTAAGCTTTATGGTTTCTTCATCACAAAGTTTTTCAGTTACATCTATTACAAAGCCTAGGGTTTAGATTTGTTTTTTTGTGTTCTTTCATTTTATCCATGGTTTCTTTATTTGTGAGGTCCTCTATGAAGACCTAGAGAGTCTTGTCTGTCGGGTTGTTGATAATCCAATTGGCAATGTCATTTTTAGGGTTTGAAAAAAATACACAAATATTAGGGAAGGATCTAATATCAAATAAATAGAAGGGGTGAGGGTTCGAACCCAGACCGGGTAGCCTACCACCTTATGAAGTTAGCCAGAAGACATCTGGGCGTTTCTCTCTTTTTAAGGTTTGGATCACTGAATTTTTATGGCATCTGCCTGAGGTTCTATTAAAAGAGTGAAGATGATGGCTAGCCGAGGATCCCCCACGACAAAGGGGAAGGGGTGGTGGGTTGTCAAACATTAACTTTCGATGTGCATATTGATCAATCAATCTTCGTGTGTTGCTAGTTGCTAAAGTTCACAATGAAATACTACAATGAACTAAAAATGATAGAGTAAATTTCATAAAACTACAGGTATTTTGGTCAAATTATCACAAAACTACAGATTTAAAGAGTTGTATCATAAAACTACACATTTAGCATCAAATTTATCACAAAACTGCAGATTTTAGGTTAAGTATCACAAAAATGCATATTTAATATTGAACTTATCACAAAACTACAACTTTTGGAGTTTAAATCCCTAGCACCATTGTTATGGTGGAGCTATAAACATTATTACTTTGTGATTAAATTGGTTCTAAACATGTAGTTTTGTGATAAATTTGGTGTTAAATGAGTAGTTTTGTGATACACTGAGTTAAATCTGTAGTTTTGTGATAATTTGGTCATAGTATCTGTAGTTTTGTGAAATTTAGTCAAAATGATACTCCCTCCATCTACTTTTGATAGTCATATTTCTAAATTAAAAAATTTATTTTTGATAGGCATATTTCAATCCAACAAACTTATCATCTTAATGGTTTTATTGGATTTAATGCATGACTCTCCATTCTTTCACACAAGATTAGCTACATGGGCGTCGAGAAATGTAAATATTAATGAATCGCTTGTTTACAAGGAATAATTAGTAGCATATTTAAATAGATGATAAGTAAAATCACTTATCTTTGGTCTATGTGCCAAGATGAAATATGACTATTAAAACTAGATGGAGGGCATATATAGGGAACGTGGTCGCATGCTAAAAAAGTGGGACCACTGTTTTCAAGAACGAATTAAGGTTAAGATAAAAAAAAGAACGAATTAAGGTTTGATTTTTTTTAGTTTATTTTAAGAACTTTTTGAATTTTGTTTAATTTCTTATAGGCTTTCATAACCGGATGGGTAGTTTAATTATATGCATGTTTACCAAGTAGTATGTGACGATATAATCTAAACTACTGGTCTTTGGTAATTTTTCTACGATAGTTGGGTGTACAGATGGTCGTAAGGCCCGAGGCCCGATGGCCCGGCTCAAGCATGGCACGGCTCGACAGTTGGGCCGTGTCTGGTCCGAGAGCTTGGCACGGTGGGTCGGCCCAGCACGACACAATAAAAAAAATAGTAGAGGGGCCCAAAATAGATTTAATCAACCATATAAGGCAAAGCCCAAATAAAAGAGAAATACAAAATAGACTTATTTTTAGCTATAGATGACAAATAAACTTATTCTATGGAGAAGCACGATAGGTTGTCGTGCCTTCAGGCTGACCTGGCATGACCCAAGTCTTATTGGGCTGTGCCTGCAACCCGTGGGCTAGCACAGCATGGCTCGACGTGTAGGTCAGGCCGTACCAGCCCAACTAACCTCGGCCCAGGAACGGTCGTGCCTAGGCCGTGTCGGGTCGGACGGCCCATTTGACCATCTATCGTTGGGTGGCATGTAAAGGGTGTATTACCAACGGGACTAAAGATTACCAACCAGAATTAAAGTTCTCCAGCAACCCCGACAGGGGTCTGAGAGGCCCTGTCAGGAGGCAAATTGGGACTAAAGATCTCTTAGTCCCGTTGGAGTAATAAACTGGAACTAAAGAACCTCTTTAGTCCTGGTTCTTTTTAAAACCAGGATTATTGTGGAAATTATCCGATCCAGATAACTTCTCTAATAGTGTGTATATGACAAAGAAACAGTAGAGGGAATACAGTACATGCATGGGGACAGATCGACGTACGAGAAGATCAGCGCGGGTACGCGACACGGGTCGTGACGGAAACATATATACGTGCATCAGATCGAATCCCGTTGGAGACTTCACCGTTCCATACACGATACACGTACGGACCTAGCTTGGTTCAGTTCGTTACGTTACGCCTACCGAGAGTTCGAGCCGCTTCCGACCTCTTTTTTCCAATAGTACGTAGTAAGAACCGGATACACTGGTAAGTGGTAACTCTTTCCGTTCCATATTATATAAATGCTGTCCTTTTTTCCTTGTTAAATCATTTTAGATTTAATTAAGTTTATAAAAGAAATTAGCAACATCTTAAAACTAAATTAATTTTATCTCTATCTCTATCTCTTCTCTACCATTATAAAAATTGAAGATGTTTTTGCCAGAATTTTGGTACGTCATCCGTGTTTGAGTGGGTTTTAAAGTTCATTCTCTTTTGGAAATACAGATCCGTGTTTGAATCAGATTTTTAAGTTCATTTCCTTTTAGAAATACAAAAGGAGTCATATAAGAAATCTCTTTAAAAAAAATCTCACATACTAATTTGAGATGAAAGACAGACTCCTAATTGCAGCTCATGATTTTCTAAAAGAAAAATATATCCAAGCAAATTCACACAGTCAAGTTCACTCTAGCTAAACCGTATCACAATAATAAGATTAAAATATTCTTCACCCGTTACAATGCACGGGTATTTATTTCTAGTCAAATATAACATTCATTATATTTGATGATATATTTGTTTTGTATTAAAAATGTTGTTATACCTTTTTAAGATAAATTTGAAAAGGTTTGATTAGAAAAGGACAAAACGTTTATAAATACTCTCTTCTCTCCATCGTATTATAAGTCGTTTGACTTTTTTACTAGTCAAACTTATTTAAGTTTGACCATATTTATGAAAAATATAATAGTATTTTTAACACAAAACAGACATGTTATCAAAATATATTTAATGTGAGATTTATTGAAACTAATTTGATAAATTTTTTCTATAAACTTAGTCAAACATAAATAAAGTTTAATTTAGAAAAAAAGATGTTAATCGACTTCTAATATGAACATAGGGAGTAGAAAACAGAGTAAGTAGTTAATAGTTTCAGTTCGATCAGAACTTCCACTTAAAAAAGTTCGATCAGAACTTGATCATCTGCATTAAAAGAATCCTATAAATTACCTGACCTGCCTCTGCAAAACAAGGTTTTTCTTTTCTGAAAAAAGACCTCTGCAAACCCAAACCCGACCCTCCCTAACCAAAACCATAAACCCTACCAACATCACCCGCGCCAAAATCCACCGAAAAGAGGAAGCGAGACGACGACGACGACCATGGCGGAGCACGACCTGACGGCGCGGATGGCGGCGCACATGAACTGCCACCTGGTGTTCCCGCTGCTGGAGTTCCTGCAGTGGCGACCTGGTCGGGTCTACGCGGTCGAGGAGATCCTCCAGGCCAAGCTGCGCCTCCTGATCCAGGGCACCAACATGGTGGATTACGCCATGGACACCCACAAGCTGCTCCACGGCGACACAGACGACGACGTCGTCGTCCCCGTCCCCGACGACATGGTCGAGCGCCGCCACGAGGTCGTCACCAGGCTCGGGGCGCTCGCCGCCCCCGCCGCCCCCATCGTCTCCGCCCTCAAGAACCACCATCTCGGCCCCGACAAGGAGCACAACATCCGCATGCTCCATGAGCGCTTCCAGGTTTTCTCTTCCGCTAGCTAGATTTGTTCTTCGTCTATATAATCGCCATGATTATATATCCATAGTAATAATCGTATGCGTTCTTGGGGTAATTAACGATGTGATATGCAGATTGGTCCTGATCAGATCGAGGCTCTGTATCAGTATGCCAAGTTTCAGTTCGACTGCGGGAACTACCCAGATGCTGCTGAAAACTTGCATCGATACCGTGCTCTGTGCACGAGCAGCGAGAGGAGCTTGAGCGCCCAGTGGGGGAAGCTGTCGGCCGAGATTCTGAATAACAACTGGGATGTTGCACTGGAGGAGCTCAATTGTCTGAAGGAGATGATCGATTCAAAGGTTTGCTTGGATGACTGATTTTGAGACTATGATTTATCACTTTCTGTTTGGGGTGTGAGATCAGCTGTTTTATACTATAACTTTGTTTGTTATACTTGTTTGTTTATTATTCTCGCAGAACTCCTCTTCACCGCTAAATCAGCTCCAGAACAGGATATGGCTCATGCACTGCAGTATCTTCATCTTCTTTAACCATGGAAACGGCAGCTACGGGATCATCGATCTGTTCTTCCAGGACAAGTTTGTTTACTAAGATCCCAATATTATTTCTGTTCACTTGTCTTTCTCAGTTACAGCTACTCTGGTTTAACAAACAATATGCAATGCATGCCACTAAAAATCAACTCTAAATGACTTGTTTTCACTAATCACTAGCAATGTTTTGTTTGTCATATCAATTATCAAATATTATCTCAGCTAAATTTTTCAATTTGCGCTTTTCGTCTTCCCTCCAGGTACTTGAATGCGATCCAGACAGATGCACCACATCTTCTGAGATACCTTGCTGCAGCAATTGTTGTGAACAGAAGGAGAAGGAATATGCTTAAAGAGTTGGTTAAAGTCATTCAACAGGAGCAGCACAGCTACAAGGATCCCATTACTGAATTCCTGGAATGCCTGTACGTTAACCATGATTTTGATGGCGCACAACAGAAACTCATAGAGTGTGAGCAGGTAAATTAGCATGTCGTTTTAAACCTTTTTTTCCCATCCCTATGACTAATCTGCCTTTTTCTTTTAGTTACTGCATTATTGTTGAAATGTAAAATATTGAAAGATAATTTCCCCTCTCTTTCTTTATAGGTCATACTGAATGATCCTTTCCTGGGAAAGCGAATTGAGGAAGGGAATTCAATTACTGTTCCTTTGAGAGATGAATTCCTTGAAAATGCTCGTCTGTTGATCTTCGAAAGTTACTGCCGTATTCATCGGTGCATTCATATCGGGTTGGTGTTTCTGTCTTTCTACTCCCCTTTTTCTGTTGACAGGCAAAATTAGTTCATTCAGATGAATTGCAGAGAACTGTAGTTTTATAAAATATCAATTCACTAAATCATACAACGAATACAACTGTAATGCACTACGTGGAGTTATCGTTGCATCTTTCTTTAACCATATTCTCAGGGTTCAAATTAAAAGTTTTAGCACACGTTTTGTACAGGTTTATTATTCTTTATAGTTTATCATATGGACCATGTAGGCATGTTTCTTTTTTTCAAATCTAAGATGTTCTTCCAATGTTTTGCAATGAACAGCATGCTCTCTGAGAAGCTGAAAATGAGCTACAATGAGGCGGAATTGTGGATCATGAACTTAGTCAGCAATTCAAAGCTCGACGCCAAGATTGATACAGCGTCTGGAACTCTTATCATGACGGCCAATCATGCTAACATGTAAGTTTGCTTCAGCCATACATGCTGCACTATATGCCAATTCATGCTATGTGCTTATGCATACCAAATACTTATCTATTTCTCTATATCATCTATTTACAAGGGATTTTTTTCCAACATTTTCTTCATTGCAGCCATCAGCAGTTTATTGAAAGCTTGAAGAATCTTGACATGCGGACTTTCATGCTAGCAAAGAGCACTATGGAGCCAGCTTAAGCAGCTCAACAGGAACTCGGCAAGATTGACAGAGAAAATTACAGTTTTGAGGCGCCTAAAATTATTTAAGTAGACGGCCTTGTAAACTTTTGGAGTTATTTTGCTTTTATTTAGCTCCTTTTTCTTTGAATTATTCGAGAAGGAGAAATTTCAGAAATATTACCATCTTATGGTCTAGATTAATAATTTCTTTTTCACTGGCTAACTTCTAACTTGCCATCTGGCCCAGGTGACATCTCAGATAATTTTGTTCTTTCATTTGTATAGAAACAGCTTCAAAATTATGAATCATACGGACGTCTAAGCTCCAATTTCATTGTATAGTCCTTATCTGACAAATGTTTTTCACATCTACTGAGATGAACAAATTCCAATCCTCCATGATAGAGGCAATGGCTAGGATGCGCTTAACTAACACATCCAACGGCAGATGGTTAATTAACATTCTTGTCACGTCCATCCCGGCCTCACCTGTACCGTCTCCGTCTCTATTTCCTTTGTGCCTTCGTGTTTATCGTCACTTCACCTTAAACGAAAAACAAAAATATTAAATGGCTGTTGACATAAAATTTAAGAGACCACCTATACATTTGTCGACAAATTTTCTCCTAAAAATCTGACAGATGTAATTATAGTACAATCGTAGTGCACAATATAAATCATTCTAGTATTTCCCACATTCATATTGATGTTAATGAATCTAGATAGATATATATGTAAAAATTCCTTAACATCAATATAAATGTGGGAAATGCTAGAATGACTTACATTGTGAAACGGAGGGAGTATAAATTTTTAACCTTAGAATTGCCTTCAAGACTTGTGCACCAGCGACCCCCACCCTTCTCCTCTAGCTTCGGTTACCAGCGATGGCCCGGCGAGTTAGGATTTAAGATTCACTGTGTTGGTCTAAAAGAGAATGGGAAAATATTGGTTTGAACATCGAGACAAGGCCTTCTCCCCTGTGTTATTTTAGAGAGCAAGATGAGGCCTTCTCCCCCTATGTTGGTTTGTTGATTTGAGAGAATCTTGGTTCGAAGATCGAGATGAGGCATTCTCCCCTGTGTTGGTCTGAGAGGAATATACTTCAGGGAGCAAGGTGAGACTTTGATGACGTGAAGCCACGGCCCGCGACAAGTGGCCACGGCAGTTGGCGGGAGCAAAGCATTAGTGGCGGTTTAAACAATGGAATAAAGTATATCTTATTTTCTGCACGTTAGTGTAGTGTTAAAGTAATAATAAAAAAAAATCTATTTTCGTCTACTACCAGCTAATTGATAGAGCCTGTTTTAAGAACAAGCTGCCGCATGGTCTCATAGAGCTAATTCACGATGTTTGCCATTAGATCACCTCTTGATCCACAATGCAAATAATGGAGGACACTCGAAGAAAATTGCTACAGGGAGAGCATTACTAAAGAAGGTAGCCACTCAAGTGTTCCACTCAAGACGAGGATAATGCCTACAGGTTTTACGACTAGAGTAAAAGGGGACTGGAAGGGACGCTTGTTGCCGATGGAATTATAGTCTTTTCTGGTATGTAGACGTGATGTATAAGTCTTACTGATGTTTTTCTTTGTTTTTAGAGTAGTTGTGTTGAGCTTGTTGCTTCATAGTGTGTTGGCATTGTCGATGCGGTAATGTCTACTATTCATGTGGTTTTGTAAAAGAGGCGCGGTTGTTTCCTCATGCCGTTTTTAGTTTCACTGGTGAAATGGGAGAGAATATCCCATCTCTTAATTTTTTTTCAAAAAGGAAAAACTACTATTAGCAAATTGATGATGTCTGATTGGCAATATGGCCGTCCATATGGAACCAAAGTTCAAAGCCCCTCTGTGCATGGAGCGGAGTTTTCATGTTCTGCACGTGAGCACGTTCAGGAGGGGACACAAAGCATATGCAGAATGGAAAAAGTACACCGAAGGTCCCTCAACTTGTCATCCGGATACAAAATCGCCCTCCAACCGTAAAACCAGATATATAGGGTCCCTTAACTATATAAAACCGGTCAAAATAGGTCCCTCGGCGGTTTTAATCCCGGTTTTGTCCTACGTGGCAGCTGAGTTAGCGTGGGACCCACATGTCAGTATGACACTTCATCTTCTCTGTTTCCCCTCTTTTCTTGTCTCTCTCTTCCTCCCCTTCACTCGCGCCGAGCAACGCGAGGAGCGGCGAGCCGGCGAGGCGACGGTGGTCGCGACTCTGGCGGTGAAGGGCTGCGGCGGTAGCAGTCGCAGTGGCCGGCTCCACGGCGGCCAAAGATGGGACCGGAGAGGCGACAGCGAGGAGCCGAGCGCCGCCACTGCACTTCTTCCTTCTCAGCGGCTGGACGAGCCACCTCGTCGCCACGTCGGGAACCTGGAAGCGGCGGCGTGTTGGACGAGTAGTCCTCGTCAATCTAGAGGCGAAGCGCGTGCGGGGGCAGCGCGGAGAGGTGGAGCAGGAGCGGATGGAGGCAGGACGGGTGGGAGAGCGAGGCGGTGAGCGACCCGTCGGGGGTGACAGCCACCGCGCCACCACCGCCTCCTCCCAACCGAGGCGGCGTCTTCGCTAACCTCCGCGCCACCGCCGACTCCTCCCAACCGAGGCCGTCGCGGCCTCCCCCTCCTCCTCCTCCCTGCCTTCACCTTCCGCCACCGCGGCCGCCAGCCGCCTCTCCCCGCTCGCGTGGTTCCTCCTCGACGCGTTCCGCCGCCACCAGCGTTGAGGCCCGCCCGTCGTCGCAGACCTCTCCAAGCTCCGTCGTGTGGCTCCCAAGCTCGTCGCCGAGGTCCTCAGCACTCGCCCGCCACCGCCGCCGCCGCTCGCGTTCCCGTTCTTCCTGTGGGCAGCGGGGCAGAAGGTTCCCGGTGTTCCACGTGCACGCGAGAGAGAGGGGAAAGATAGAGAGAGAGAGGAGGAAGGGAGATAAGAGGGGAAAGAGAGGGTGACGTGGAGACCTGACATGTGGGGCCCACGTGGGTCCCACCTGACTCAGCCGCCACGTAGACCAAAACCGGGGTCAAAACCACCAAAGGATCTCGGGTGTCCGGTTTTAAATAGTTAAAAGGGACCCAGCATATCTGGTTTTGCGGTTCGAGGACGTTTTCGTATCACTATGACAAGTTGAGGGACCTTCGGTGTACTTTTTCCTATGCAGAATATGGGCTTCCACCAGCAGCTTCAACCCTCGATGGTCTTGGACTTTGGAGTGAAGTGGACCACTTGACGAGGCCGCGCAGTGGGCTACGCTGTGAGCCACGTGAAGCCTGGCTGCCGAGCGATCCATCGTTGGGCCGCCGAAGCAAACTGCGCGTGGGATTTGTTGTGTTGAGTGGCCATCAGATCGACGCGGAAAAAGTACTTTCAAGTCCTTATCTAAGGGTAAAATCAGGTAAAACGTATGGAGGATAAGAAAAGAGAAAATGAACGGATGACAATGTTCTTAAAAAAACCGGATGACATCAATTTTCCCTTATAATTGACAGGGTTCTACTATATTTATTTCTTTTTTTCTGATTGTTATACCATGTAAGCTCTACCACGTGCCCACGTTATATGGAGATCGAGTCAACACATCACGTGGGTATCACATTTCGGCTGATACCGCCCTCTAAACCATCTTTGGACTATATGGTTTTGAAAGATGAGGTACGTGTTGTATAAGGTTTTATAGTCTAAGGCCCTGTTCTTTTCTCCAATAAAACTTAATGAAAATAAAGATTTTTGTGATACGTTTTTCAAACTGCTAAACGGCGTGTTTCGTGTGAAAACTTTTTATATGAAGTTGCTCTAAAATGTCAGATTAATCTATTTTCTAAATTTTTAATAATTAAAACTCAATTAATCATACGTTAATGCCACATCGTTTTGCGTAAAAAACTTAATTTTATCTTCAGGAGAAAAGAACACCACCTAAAGGATGCAATCGAAACTTGACGCTTAGATGAGGATCTAAAATGAGCTTTTCGGATCGATGATAGGTCGGGATTCAATAAAAGGCGGTGTATCTAGAGAGAGTAGTAGCGAAATTTTAGCAAAAGTTCATAACTTTCCTGTGTTACTTGCGCATAGTTACAATTGAATTACATGCTCGGCCATGCATTATGATATATTTTTTTCTTGTAAGTTCATGTCTGAGGGGTGATTTCTGTAGATTTAGACCATTAAATTTAATAGAATAGCTTTGGCGTACATTATGGTTATTTTTTATCGACGAGTAGGCCTACTTGTTCTGAATAAACATGACGCCATGTGCGGCGTATTTCTTTTTTTTTTTTCAAAGCAACCCGGGAAATCTGGACAGTCAGCGGGAAAAACAAGGGTAGTCAGCATCCATTGTGACGTGGTCCATTGACTGCATTCATGTTACCCCTCCCCTCTGGCACCCGATGTGCACGCCAAAATGACAAGCCTCCGCAGGGTCTGTTTAGTTTCCAAATAAAAATTTTCCACAATGTCACACTAGATGTTTGGTTATATATATATATATATATATATATATATATATATATATATATATATATATGTGTGTGTGTGTGTAAAATATTAAATATATAAAAAAACTAATTATATATATTACATGTAAATTACGAGATAAATCTTTTAAGCTCAATTACTCCATAATTTGATAATTTATTAATGACGGATTAATTAGACTTAATAAATTCTTCTCGCAGTTCTTAGACGTAATATGTAATTTATTTTATTATTAATTTATATTTAATATATATTTAATACTTTAAATATGTATCTATATCCGATGTTACATTTCAAAAATTTTCGTTTGCGAACTAAAAAGGCCCTCAGTCCTCAGCTTCAGTGCCTCACGCTTGCAACAATATCGTCCTCCCTGTCCGTGTACTGTGAATCTGCCATCTGTGACTTCGTGAGACATGGCTCCAGCGATGGCGAGCTCAGCAGCGACGGTGGTGCTGATCCCGTTCTGCGTCTCCGGCCACCTCACGCCCATGCTGGAAGTCGGCAAGCGGATGCTGCGCAGCCGCTGCTGCGGCGACGACGACGACGGCCGCCCCGCCATGTCGCTCACCGTGCTCCTCGCGCAGCTGCCGGAGTCCCACCGCGCGCCCGAGATCGACGAGATCATCCGCCGTGAAGCGGCCGGCGCGTCGGAGCACTCCGGCTTCGACGTCCGGTTCCACTGCCTCCCCGCCGAGGAGCTCCCGGACTTCCGCGGCGGCGAGGACTTCATCTCCCGGTTCATGCAGCAGCACGCGTCGCACGCCAGGGAGGCCATCGCCGGCCTCGAGTCCCGCGTCGCCGCCGTGGTCTTGGACTGGTTCTGCACCACGCTCCTCGACGTCACCCGCGACCTCGGCCTCCCCGGGTACGTGTTCTTCACGTCCGCCGCCTCCATGCTCTCGCTCCTGCTGCGGTTGCCGGCGCTGGACAAGGAGGTGGCCGTGGATTTCGAGGAGATGGGAGGCGCCGTCGACTTACCGGGGTTGCCGCCTGTGCCGGCGGCTCTGTTGCCGACGCCTGTGATGAAGAAGGGTTGCAACTACGAGTGGCTCGTGTACCACGGGAGCCGCTTCATGGAGGCTGCGGGGATCATCGTCAACACGGTGGCCGAGCTCGAGCCGGCCGTCCTCGAGGCCATCGCCGACGGCCGGTGCGTGCCGGGACGCCGCGTCCCGGCCATCTACACGGTCGGCCCCGTGCTGTCGTTCAAGACGCCGCCCGAGAAGCCGCACGAGTGCGTGCGGTGGCTCGACGCGCAGCCGCGAGCGTCGGTCGTGTTCCTCTGCTTCGGGAGCATGGGCAGCTTCGCGCCGCCGCAGGTGCTCGAGATAGCCGCCGGCCTCGAGCGCAGCGGGCACCGCTTCCTGTGGGTGCTGCGCGGCCGTCCACCCGCCGGCTCGCCGTACCCGACGGACGCCGACGCCGACGAGCTCCTCCCGGAGGGGTTCCTGGAGAGGACCAAGGGGAGGGGCATGGTGTGGCCGACGTGGGCGCCGCAGAAGGACATCCTCGCCCACGCCGCCGTGGGAGGCTTCGTGACGCACGGCGGGTGGAACTCGACGCTGGAGAGCCTGTGGCACGGCGTGCCGATGGCGCCGTGGCCGCTGTACGCGGAGCAGCACCTGAACGCGTTCGAGCTCGTGCGCGACATGGGCGTCGCCGTGGAGATGGAGGTGGACAGGAAGCGGGGCAACTTGGTGGAGGCGGCGGAGCTGGAGCGCGCGGTGCGGTGCCTGATGGACGAGGGATCGGAGGAGGGGAGGATGGCGAGGGAGAAGGCGGCGGCGGCGAAGGCGGCGTGCCGGAACGCCGTGGACGGAGGCGGGTCGTCGATAGCGGCGTTGCGGAAGCTCACGCAAGAAATGGCCCACATGTCATCCATATAGCTAACATAAATACGGAGTATCAGGCAGCGAGTATGCACAAGATACGGTAAGTATCGAACTATCGACAGCATCAGGCAGCGAGTCATCAACCGATCATCATGAACAAGTGGAAGTCTGGATGAGATAAGTCGGCAGTCAGATGGACGAGGGGATGGACAAGATCATCCTTATTGCCAGATCCTAGAGAATGTGATGGGTGTATGCCAAATCCATGATTTTTTTTCTTTAATATATTGATTCCGTGCAAAAATGTAGACACTTCTCTATCTGGACGAATGTTTGCCAATATATATAGCTAAAAGTTACTACTCCCTCCATCTTAAAATTTTTGACACCGTTGACTTTTTAGCACATGTTTGGCCATTCGTCTTATTAAAAAAATTTGTGAAATATGTAAAACTATATGTGTACATGAAAGTATATTTAACAATAAATCAAATGATATGAAAAGAATAAATAATTACTTAAATTTTTTGAATAAGACGAATGGTCAAACACGTACTAAAAAGTCAACGGTGTTAAATATTTTGAAACGGAGGGAGTACTTCACTATAAGTCACTTATCCAATATAATCGTCCTCACTAAATTGTAAGCTATAAATAGAATCCCTTCTCTCAGAAAATTATACTCCCTCCGTTTCAAAATGTTTGACACCATTGATTTTTAGTACGTGTTTGACCATTTGTCTTATTCAAAAAATTTAAGTAATTATTTATTCTTTTCATATCATTTGATTCATTGTTAAATATACTTTCATGTACACATATTTTTACATATTTCACAAATTTTTTTGAATAAGACGAACGTTTAAACATGTGCTAAAAAGTCAACGGTGTTAAATATTTTGAAATGGAGGGAGTATAATCTTAAGATGAATGATCAAAAGTGCAAATTATTTGAAAAACAACACAACAATATAATATTCTCATATGTACATATATTAGCGACTGCTCTCTTACTCTTTTTCTCCACATTTCTATAGTTACACCCAGGATTGATAATATTATGGTAATTGGTGCGGCGGACCTAGCCAGGAGATAAGGCCTGGGGCGGATTATGTAGTTTTGTTGGGTGATGTTTCTCTGACGTACATCAGTGCGACGTGTTTTAGTGACGAGTAGGTTCATGAAAGTAGGCCCTATAAAGATAGACCCACCTGTCAAGCACTCATATCCCTCTGACTTTATGTCAGAGGAGCTGCATCCAATTTTGTTATGACTTTATATCAATTTTTTATTTTACATTTTTATTAAAATATTAAAAAATAATACTTTCTTAAAAATTTACTCATCTAGACATCTCACGCCTTTTAAAAATCGCACTTCCAAAAAAACGTTAAGGAGCCTAAATGCAAATATTTTATTTTTATTTAAACTTTTTTCATCGATTTTAATTGGTAAAATACTAGTAATGCTTATTCTATACTTCAAATGATTTTAAGAAAAAAAAATTACGAAGTTATAGATCTCATCGAGGAGCACGACGTGAACGCCCAACACTATCAACCGTCGCTAGGGCTCCCACATTGCCTCCTTTTCCCTTGCCCGCTCTTGGCTATAGATGGCCAAATGGGCCCCCTGGCATGGTCTGGCCCAGGCACGATCGGGTACGAAGTTAGTTGGCCTGGCCCGGCACAACCTACATGCTGGGCTAGGCTGTGCCCGCTCACGAGCTGCACCAACGACCCAGGCATAGCCTAATAAGACTCGAGCCGCGACGGGCCGGTCCGAAGGCACGACAACCCATCGTGCTTCTCAATAGAATAAGTCTATTTTTCCTCCTCAACTCTTTGGGTTGTGTTTTATATGGCTGGATAAGTTTATTTTTCATCCCTCTTCTCTTTGGGGCATGCCTATATGGCTAAGTTAAGTCTATTTTGCATCCCTCAACTGGTTTTCTTTGATCATGCTATTTCGGGCCAGCCCACCGTGCTAAGGCATCGGCCCAGGCACGTCCCAACTATCAGGTTGGACCGGCATGGGCCTAACACCAATCGTGTCATGTCGTACTTGGGCTGGGCCAAATGGCCGTGCCATGGGCCGGGCCTTGGGCCTTATGGCCATTTATACTCCCAGCCACCCCAGCTCTTGCCTCACTAACCCCGAGGGAGGCGAGAGGGCGCCGCACCCCTGCTTCCCCGAGCCGGTGTCGGGCTCACCGCCTGCCTTCATTCTGATTTTTGAATCGCTGAAGAAAATGGGGTAGACTATTGGTACACTAAACCTAGACGGGGAGAAAAAGGAAAGGGAACCGACCACCTGGCGTTTACTCACTCACTAACCATTCATGTGAACATTCACTCATTGGAAGTCAGCAAGAGGATTCTCCGCAGCTGCTGCGACAACGACGGTCGAGCCATGTCACTCACCGTTCTCCTTGGGCAGCTGTCGGGGTCCCACCGAGCGGACTCTGGCTTCGACGTCCGCTTCCACTGCCTCCCCGCCGAGGAGCTACTGGACTTCTGCGGCAGCGAGGACTTCATCTCCCGATTCATGCAGCAGCACTCGTCGCATTCCAGGGAGGCCATCTTCGGCCTGGAATCCCACGTCGCCGCTGTGGTTTTGGACTTGTTCAGTACCACGTTCCTCGACGTCACCTGCAACCTCGACCTCCCTGGGTACGTGTACTTCACTTCCACCGCTTCTCTGCTCTCGCTCGTGCTGCGGTTGCTGGTGTTGGACCAAGAGATGCTTGTGGATTTCGAGGAGATGGAAGACGTCGTCGACTTACTAGGGTTGCTGTCAGTGCCGGCGACTCTGTTGCCGACGCCTGTGATAAAGAAGGATTGTGTGGAGATTATGGGTACCATATGCCCACACGGTTGGATTATCCGACTGGTTATAGAGGATAGATCATATGAATAGAATATGTATAGGATTAGAACTTGGTTGTTATGTTTACTTGTGTATCAAGGAAACATCCCATAGTTTTGGTTTGGTCCAATTGTAAAATAGTTATAGAGATTTAAACTGTGAGGAGTAAAATTTCTATCTTGTAAACCTGCCTCCTCTTACTATATAAGGAGAGTAGGGTGTCTCTCGAGGGATATAACCACACTTGAGATTATTAGATCAATACCACAATTGACGGATTTAATCCTCAAACAGTAGTAGGGTATTACTTATCATCAAGAAGGCCTGAACATGTCTAAAATCTTGTCTCATAACCCATCCACTTTCCTTCTTGTGCACTACTCCTTTTCATATTGCTAACTTCTAGTTTCAATAGTTGACACGCCAGGTAAGGGCAGGTCAAGTTTCTTGTCGATTAGTGCGATGGGATCTCCTTCAGGCAAGGATGATTTCGTCTTCCTGCCAGGGCAGGCGTCCCACTTCGGCAACCTCAACTTTATTACGGACGACTTCAGCAAGATCTCTCTCCTCGACTCGGATTCTCAGATTTGAGAATCATATTTGTTATTTTTGTTACCACTTATATAGGTTAAATTAAGATTATGTATTTGTGGATTGACATATTATATATTGATCTCATCTTATCAAAATCTTAACAAAAGAAAAAAACGAGCGGATATTCTCTTATGCGATGATAATCCATCTCCAAAAGAAAGGAGCAGTGATTAGTAGTCCTTACCAAAAAACAAAGGTAATTAAAAGCACAGGGGTGTTAAAATCACAAAAGATAAAGGGACTATCGGCAAAATGCAACATCTAAAACTGATGATCTCAGTGTCCTTCGAAGCCTACAACAAAAAGACAAGTAGAACTTTATAATTTTCAACCAAAAGAAGACCTGTGCAAATTGCAATAACTAGGTAAAAGTAAATACATTACTTTTCAATATTTGTTTCCTTGCATGTACTTGAAGCGATGAATCACGATTGGCCTGATTGGTAACTTATCAACCTACTGGGCGATCGTCACTAACCAGCTTATGTTGAAAATTGTACATTCAGCTGTATTTTTTCTTCTCTCGTCCAGATTCCCAATTCAGACTAAAACCCAACAATCCCATAAAAAAAATAGGGGGAGAGCACATTTTGCAAATATATAGAAGCTTTGATCCAACAAAAAAAAAATCCTCAATTCATATAATCCATATCTGGTTAGTGGCTTTTTCTCTGATTCGTTTTGCATATTTACGCCAGGGGCATCAATATTTCCTAGATTTCGGAAATTTCAGGCCCTCGACACAACACTATTTCACCCAAGATTTTCTCTTTTGTTTTTGAAATTACGCAAAATTTGTAAAAGAAAATGTAATTTTGGGAACTCTTTTAAAAAAGGGAAATTTTGCTATAGGACACTGCTTATGTGTGGTTTTAACCCTAGGACACTGCCCAAACTCACTTTTGGAGAAAAACACTCTATAAACGTGGTAATTTGCCAGTGGACACCGTGCCGATTAAAATAATAATTTATGGTTGAAGAGGAGAGAGAAATCGCGTGAAATATCAACAATGCCCTTGGGCCCATGTGTCGGCTCTATCTCCTATCACTCTTCTCCTCTTCCTGCCCACATGTCGCTCCCCATCGTCCGCCGGCCGCCGGCCGTGCCCGCGTAGATGGCGGCGGAGGCAGCGGCGAGCAGCAGCAGCACCCCGGCCATCTGGCGGCCCACCAGCCGCAGCGCGCGGTGGAGCTGCAGCCGCTCCTTCTCCCCGCCGCCTCGCCACCCCCACCCCCTGCCCCTGCCCTTCCACCCGCCGCCGACCGACGCGAGCGAGCCGTAGCTCCCGCACTGCATCCCAAGCGTCGACGCCGAGCCACTCATCGCCACTGCCGCAGCCGCCGCCACCCTTCTCTCATCCCAATCGCCAACTCACGACGCCGCTACGGGGCGGTGGCTCGCGCAGCACGCAGGCCGGCGAGGCGGTGGCTCGCGGATCCGACGGCGTGGAGCAGGGCGGTGGCGGATGACGACGACGATGGTGACGAGTTCGAGGAGGAGGAGGACGCGCGCCGCTCCTCCCCTACCGCCCGCTGCTCGTGCGGAGCTCCTCCCCCTGCCGCCCGCACGCCGCTTCTCCCCTGGCCGTTTGGGCGGCACAGGACTGCGGCGACAACGGTTCCTCCCGCCGCCCCCGCCCGCCACCGCTCCGCCAGCCACCGTGCGATCGCCTGCCGCCACCGGCGCTCCACTCCACCTGCCACGCAATCAGCTGACGCTGCTGCTCCACCTGCTTCGGCCGCCAGCTCCGCTCCACCGCAGCCGACGCCCTGCTCCACTCCGCCGGCCGCCGTCCTCGCCATCTCCTCCGCCGCGACGAGCACCGCCCCATGCGCCTCTGAGAGAGAATATAGAGAGAGAGAGGAGAAGAGAGATAGGAGATAGAGCTGACATGTGGGCCCAATGGCGTTTTTGATATTTCACGCGATTTCTCTATCGTCTTCAACCAGAAATTATTATTTTAATCGGCGCGGTGTCCACTGTCAAATTACCACGTTTATGGAGTGTGTTCCCCCAAAAGTGAGTTTGGGCAGTGTCCTAGGGCTAAAACCACACATAAATTGACTCAATTGACTCAATTTGTAAAAGTAAATTGAAAATTTCAGGCGAAATAGTTGCAAACACTGCTCCAAACAAATAAGAACTAAATACCCAAAAAAACAGAGACCCTTGACGTACTGTTGACTTGTTGAGTATGTTGACATGTTGTGCCATGGTCGGAACAAGAGGAGACACGGCGGCAGCGAGCGGCGAGGACGTACATCCCCGCATGCATCTGCGTCTCGCGATCGGAAACACAAAGGCGAGTCGGGACAGCGCCGGCAGAACAGTAACGGGAAGCCGCTCCGCTTCCCACCCAACAACACAATTCGACTCGGACTCCATCGATCGGGCCTCGGTGTCAATCCGTATCCGTGTAAATAAGGCGGTTGATTTCTCCCCCCTCGCGTCACGCTATAAAAGGCTTAGCTCCACGCGCACGCCTCACCTCATCCCGTCATCCCTCCGAAGCCACCAAACAAAAAGCGCGCAAACGCAGAGAAGAACAAAAAAACAAGAAAAAAACGTACGAGAAGAAGAAGAAAAAAAGCTTGAGGCGATGTACGGCTCCCCCGACGGCGTCCGCTACTGCCAGCAGTGCGAGCGCACCACGTCCATGGTGCTCGACCACGACACCGGCGACGCCATCTGCACCGAGTGCGCCATCGTGCTCGGCAACGGCAACGACCCGCGCCGCCCCGCCGTCGCCTCTGCGGCCACCAAACACGGCGGTGCCGACGCTCCTGCCGATGATGATCCGTTGCTCCAGGGCAGCGACGTGGTCGCCGCCGCCGCCGCGGAGGTGGCATGCTCCGTTGCCCCGACCAAGCTGCAGGCTGAGGGCGCTGCGCCGGCGGCGCCGCCGAGGATGCGGGGCGCTGTCGTGGCGCCGAAGGTGCGAGGCGGCGGTGGCGGCGCCGTGACGAAGGCCCGGGGCGGCGTCCCCGACACGAACAAGTCGCTCGCCGAGGGGTTCGACGCCATCGACAACATGGCGTCCCGGCTCGGGCTCGCGGGCAACGTGCGCGACCGCGGGAAGGACGTGCTGAGGAAGGTGGAGGAGGCCAAGGTTTGCGCCAGGGGGCGGAGCCGGGACGCGCTCTACGCGGCGTGCCTCCACACCGCGTGCCGCATGGAGGGCGCGCCGCGGACGCTCAAGGAGCTCATCGCCGCGACGCCCGACGCGGCGGCGACGAAGAGGAACCTGGGCAAGTTCATCCACGCGATCAAGAGGCTCCTCGGGAGCAACGATGAGGAGGCCGAGGCCGGGCAGGATCAAGCGGGCAGCAAGGCGACGAACGGCTGCGGCGGTGGCGGCGGCGCCGGCGCGGTGGTGCGCGCCAGCAACTACCTGCTCCGCTACGGGTCGGCGGTCGGGATGAGCGGCCAGGAGGTGAGCGCGGCGCAGCGCGCGGCGAGCAGGCTGGACGAGAGCCTCGACGTGCGGCGAAACCCGCAGTCCATCGCGGCCGCCATCATCTACATGGCCGTGCAGCGCGCCGGCGGCGGCGGCGGCAGGAGCAAGAGCGTCCGCGAGGTGTCCGCCGCCACGGGCGTCAGCGAATCGACCATCAAGGACGCGTACAAGGACCTGTGCCAGCACGCCGAGGTGCTCTTCGGCTAAATACATATGGCGACGCGACGCTACAAAATTATTTTCGTTTGTGTTGTTTGATTAGTTATTTTTCGAAAGCCCGCATGTACACTCGTGAGTTTGGACTTCTCATTTGAAATCGTATACTGTTAGTAATTTTTTTAATCTGAAATCATCTATAATAATTTCAATTCCTTGGGCCTTCCCAATTAACGTCTAGTCTGCTTCTTTCTTTGCCGGTTTGCCCTAGTAGGCTAGTACGCATGGCCGCCGCCATCCTCCCGCGCACGCGAAATTAGTGATAGCCTGTTGATTAGTTTTTTTTGCTCTGGTATGGTTTTGAAGGTAGAAGTGCTCCAAGATTTATGGACGCCAGGTGGCGAGATCTTGATGGGGTGCCATGCATGCTTTGTTGCATGGGGTGCTATACAATTTTTTTCCTCTTTCCATTGGCTGAATTGCACGTGCATTGTCACGATAAAAGAAAAGATAATGTCTAAAACAAATACAAATATATTAATTTGATTCTATATGTGGTATTGTTTTAATATTAAGAAGTTGAGGAGTTGACATATTCAGTGCTACATTTTTCAAAGGATTATAGATTATATATGGCTTTTTCTTTAGATTTTATTATTTTTTTATTATTAAGAAGCAGTCAATATTACTACTTTTAAAAGAGTGTATATTTTATATATATATATATATATGAAAATGGTTCTATACACTGGGTGTATATACTCCCTCTTGCATCCACCGTTCATCCGAACAACCAGATACGAGTTAATCCGTGTACACCTTAACGGGTGTTGACTCAGCGGACCCGGTATGTATATCGTGAATTATGGAATTAATTATTCAGGGCAAAATTATCTTACCGCTAATATCGGAACAGATCCAACAGCGCATCACGAAATTTCTGGGTTTTGGGAGGCAACGAGGCGACGACTCCTCCTCGGATTGACCCCACGGTGATTCAGCGGCGACTCGGCGGCTGGTGGAGGATCATAGAAGCGATCTATACTGATCATTGAATCTGCTTGTTCCTTCCTCCAGTGATGGCTCCTCCTTCACCAATCGGAGATACTGAAGCAGAGGTAATCATTCTGGAGGATCTGCCACCCGTTGGTGTCCCAGGAGCAGAAGTCATCGATCTGGAGTCGCCTGAATGCAAGAGCGGGGCAGCCGGGGCAAAATCGAGGAGTCACAGTAGTACAGGTCATCCAAAGCAGCAGGTTAGTATTTGTGTATTTTATACGGCAAGATCGGCTCGATTCCTAAATTTTTCTCGTTTGCAGAGTCACGGGAGAATCAGTTTGTCACCGCAGTCCAAGGTATGTCACCAGAAATTGATCATCTTGTTGCCTATAGAGAGGGGTTATGCATAGTTCGGTTCATGCATGATCTCAGTTGTGGATGGCAATTTCTTGACTCTGAATGCATATGCTGTTTTATTTGGGATAATGTATATGCCGATTTTACACCTGAAGTATATGCTTTCCATACATGGGTATGTACTTATTTTTTTTAAACATAAGTATCTATTGAACATTGTATATTCTGCATTTCTGTGGATTGGTATATGCTTCTTTTTTCCATAGAGAGGTATATACTGACTGGTACATACTGGATTGGTATATACTGTAATTATCCATAGAGAGGTATATGCTGTTTTTTTTCCGTCAGTAGTATGTTCTGAACTTTGCATATACTGCATTCCTATGGATTGGTATTGAACCTTGTATATACTGCATTTCTATGGATTGGTATATACTTCTTTTTTCCATAGAGAGGTATATACTGACTGGTACATACTGGATTGATATATACTGACTGGTACATACTGGATTGGTACACAGTATGTACTGCATTTTACAAAGATATACTGCTTATTTCCATAGACATGCTTACTTTTTCAAAGAGGGGGCAAATACAGGCTGAATTTGCTTCACAGAAATATATCCTTCATTTTTCCAGAGAAGGTTATATGCAGATTTTTTAAAACAGAAGTACATGTTGAATTTTTAAATACGCTCAATTTTTCTCAGCCTTAGTATTTGTTATATTTGTGTTCTGAAAAATAATTATCAGCAGGCTTTCAAGGTCTCAGGCACAAGGGGTAACCTTCAAAAGACGGCTGCACGGGTGGTATCTAGGTATCGGCAAAGCAGGGTACTAAATAGACAGAAGAAAGACAACACTACCTTTGGTATCAATTGTAGGTGCCAGCCCAAATGCATAGTGAATATCACTAAAGACTTCGATGATAGGAAGAAGGAGTTGATTGCTGAAATTGGATTTGATGGAATTTTGGATATCAAACTTACTAAGGTAAACAGGCAGTTTTGGGCATGGCTTCTGAGCAAGGTTGATCCAAAATCAGGCACTATTGTTACAGATTTCAACCAGGAGTTGCCATTTGGTCCCAATGATGTCAATGCAGTTTTTGGCTTGCCATGCTCAGGTCAACTTATTATCCCTTGCTCACAAGATGAATTAGACGGGAAGAAACAAAAATTGTGTGAAATATTTGAGATTCCAAACTTTTCACACCTGAAAATATCACTCTTAGAGAGAGTCCTAAAGAAGCAGTATGTTCATCCCATGACAATAGATGAAAAGAGGGAATTCAAGGCGGCTTTTGTGTTATATGTCACAACAAAGCTCTTGGCACCGCAATCCTGCGCAAACTTCATATCTCCTAGGTATATTAGAGCTGTGGCTGATGTTGACAATACAAAACAGTACAACTGGTCCCAGTTCGTCGTAGATGAGGTGAAGAAAGCAGCAGAATCATTGCCCAAACGCTTTCCGAATACGACGCAACAATCCATTAACGGGTGTATCATCTTCCTAATGGTTAGCACTGATACTTGTCTTCCTAATGCAGTATATAATCAACACACATATTGACATTTTGAAGCAATTGTGCAGGCAAAATATTTCAGCAAACTCGTGATACGGAAGGTTGGGATCACGAGTGTTAAATCATGCCACATTTCTTAGTTCGAGGACAATCAAATTGCTATGATGATCCAACAAGATATAGTCAGTAAACATAATCCAGGATACCCTTTCCCTCGTTATGGGAAGCTCCAGGTATATATGGTACCCTAACTCTAATATACCTATTTAAGGCTGCAAAAATAAGCTAATTAGCAACGCATATGTTCTTTAGTTGATGAAGGCTCCAAGAGAAAACTACCCCCAAGCGCCAGAGGTGTCTCCCCTCAACTTATCCTCCGTTTCGAAGATACAATGCAGAGGCAATGATGGAGGCGCCAATTTAATCAAATTCCTGGAATCACACTTCAATTCGTTAGACGTGAGTGCAATGGTTGGGCCACAGGTACGTGAACCATAGTTACAGTATTCTACTTCAGACTATATCCGACAATGGGATTAAATATAATTTATGGTTACTATGATTAAAAACACAGGCCTATAAGGAGTTGAAATCTTACGTTCAGGATGGATTCAATCAGATTGATGAGATTTTGCCTAGCATAGCAGATTTCGTAGACATAAGCAACCTCAAAACTGCTACTGAAGCAGCAAACATGTTCAAGAAAGCTTTCAAGTATAATATGGCAGCGGCAGTTAAGATAGCGACGAGGGCAGCAGTTAGGAATGTTATTGATACCATTGAGGATATGCAAGGGCCTCTCCATCCATAGGGAGACCCCTCTGCCATGGGATACCACACACCCACGAACTACTCCACACATGCTACAGAATATGAAAATCCAGTGGAGCAACCAACAGGTAACGCTTGACTATTAACAATATGAACACACAAAATCCTTACAAAATGTGACTTTAACAAATTTCTTACATTCTTCATTTATCAGATACCCGACACTTTGATCACAAATTTGGAGCCTCGCAGTGCACTCCTAGAAAATTTAATGGAGCTCCAGGTTGGTGTGCTAAAAGATTAAAAAATCAAATAAAAAACCTGATTACTGCGTACTAATCAGTCTCACATATCCAGGTTCGAAAGAGACTAATTCTTCAATGTCGCCTACGTCGGGAACACGCATGACTAACAAATGTTCAATTATGCTAATTGAAGAATTTGGAACCGACGAGCAGAAGAAGCGCAAATATACTGTTGAAAAACCACCTTCTCACTTGCTGAAACACAAATCAAAGCGTGCAGTTAAACCAAACAGGAAACTCATGTCGCCTTTCCTGTCAAAACAATGTTCGACTGAGAGGATGGACTCCAGGACTGCTGATGAATTGTATTCCTATGTTATGTCTATTTCTAACGAGGCATCGTTAGAGTAAGTCCTGATATTCAACTATACCAAGTATCGCACCCCACCTAACCTGACATCCCTTTATTCTCTTATGGTTTATTTCAGCGCAAAATGGCTGCAAAGTTCCTATCTATTCAGGATTTCATTGACGCTACGAAACATCCAGAAGACTATAAAGATTGGGAGCCGAATGGATTCAGATTCTCTCAACCTTGCTATTCGAATAATGTTCCAACAAGAAGTTGAGAGATTTCAAAACACAAACTACTTGGGTTGGAGGCATTTCATTAACCAAGATTTTGGGGTAACATTGCACACGTCAAAAAAATATTCTTCTTTTGCTAATGGGCATTCAAATTCAATGATTTCTTTTAGATGTATGCTGTAGCTGGAGATGAATTTTGGGAAGCTAGTCATCAACTTGCACACTTCACGGGCCCCGAAGTTGTATATGATGTTTTAGATAGTCACATGGTGAGTTTGATTTTTCAGTACGTAATCTGTAGTCTTATTTGTGAACAATAACAGATAAGCCATCCCACTGAGAAACAATTACTTTGCAGATACTGATACCTGTTCACCTACTCAAACATTACGTGTTGTACGTATTTAACATGGAGAGTAAGAAGGTATTAGTCCTTGATTCACTGAACACCCAAGATCCACTGGGGGAATCACGTTTCACCAGGCATGACAAGATTAAGATCATGGTGTCCCGGTGCGTAATGGAATGCATGCGTCTGGCATTTCCAGGGTGGAACAAGGACATACTGAACTGGGACTTTGAGGCAGTGGAAAATATACCAAAGCAGCAAAACGGGTGAGTTACTACTCCACCAAACAGTATACAACCTATCCACAGTTTGAATTGACAATACTTTTACAAAAACACACAGGGATGACTGCGGCTTTCACGTATTCAACAATATGGTGAACTGGGATGGTCTTCATCTTGTGAACTCTACTTCACAGGTATATAATGGCTTCCACCCTTTGTAGACCACACTCTACCATAAAGTCTTCGCCAATAAGCTATAACGAAAAACTGTAACATTCACAGGACCCGTACTACCTCCGGCGACAATTTTTGATCCACCTATTGACTCTGCGTGATAACGAGGCAATACTTCCAGAATATGTGGTGCACCGTCTTCGACATATTAAAGACAATTAGTTCAACAATTTTATCCTTATAGTTTTACTAGAACTTTTCATGTAATTTTCGATATTCACTTATGTCTTCGCTTGACAGAATCTTAAATTCGTTGCTATGCATGGACAAAGAAACATCTGTGTTCAAATGACAGTTCCACGTACTTAGTTATTTCAATTTTTCGCTACCCCAAACAATAACAGTATGCACGTGTTTATTCAACTGATTGTATGGCTTATTTTTGTATCTACACCCAATGGTACCATCCATAGGGATGTGGTTATTCACTCAATCATCCTTCTAAAATCCCCGCTGCCGCGCTGCAGCTTAAACATGACCTGGATGGAGCAAACCAAAATCCTTCGGTCCTGGCCTAATGAAGTAGTACGTGTCTTCGTTGATGTAGAAAATACAACTCAAACCCACACAAGTGCACATACCTTTTCCAAAGGATAAACAGCACAAAAAAACACTTCCATTTCTCTCTTTAAAGAGAAAATACCATCATGCAAATGATATAGATTCCTGTTAACACACATCCATTTGTTTCCACTGAAGATACAACCACCAAAAATATCCAATTGTAAAAAATTGAAGCAAAATTTACTTAATATAGAAAAAACTGACCAATCCACCACTTCCATAATCATAATAAATTGCTCACAGCAAGCAAACACAAACATCTCTCAACTTAATAGGAAAACAACTTAAAGCAAGACCACTTTAAACATTCAGAAGGGGCTATACAAAACTACAATGAACCATATACTAAAGTTTTCTCTTGTACATAGACATCCGGCCGCAGGTTCTTGAATTATGTCCTGCTTGGTGGCATGTGTGGCAAAACCTACGAGGAAAAGGCATTTCATCCGCATGATCATTGTCTTGGTTTTCTTCTTCAACGGAATCACCCTCATTTGCTGCTTTACTCTTTTCACTCCTTCTTTTCTTCTTTTCATGCTGGCAGCCTCACCGCCAGATTTATACCTATTCACTTTTGGCCTTCCTCTGCTTCTCTTTCTCACGGGTGGAAGTACATCACCAGTATTATCTCCACTCTCTTCCTCACTCGACATATCATACACACTGTCGACGTCAGCAGCGCCAACATCTTCATTTCCATCTTCGGATAATACCGTTGGCCTTGATATTTGTCTAGTTGCTCGCTTTGGGGCTGCTCCACTATTGTCATCGTCATCCAAAGATAACCGACTTTTCATGTCTTCCAAAAGTTGATTCATGACTGTCATTGCCATCTTAAATGTCTGCACATCTTTGTTTGCAACACTAGCCACCTCCACAGACTTTTTATTCAGCATTACATGTCTGTAACTCCTCGATTGTGAAGCATCGACATCATCTTTGTATCCATGTAGATGAGGTGGAACAGAATCCCGTGCATTCTTCGTCCATCTTTTCAATATGTACCTATCTGGAATTTTTGACAACCCATACTGAACAAGCACCTAGCAGGACAAAACAATGAATTACAAAATAATCAAGAATACTTCAATAAAAGTTGCAAAGGAAAAAACATATACCCTGAAAACGTGGCTGCACAGTATCCCCTTATGCTCAAACATCTTGCAGACGCATGAAAATTCCTCTCTTTCCACATCATAGTACACCTGATATTCCTTCCGAAGGAATGAGCTAGACTCTTCTGTGCACATTCGTACAACTTGCACTGTGCTTTCGTCCTCCCTAGGTTTCACCATGTATGATAAACTATCAGTTAACTCCTCAGAGAACAACTGAAAAACAGCTCTAGTATATACTTGGGAAGCATGAATCTCTATCGGTGAGCTTGTTTTAATTTCAACCTTGTCCTGCACCGAGTGACACCAAAAGATGATTATAATAATCAATTAAATAAGAACAACAAAAATGCCAAAATGGATACTTACGTTACTAGTTTGGAATTCCTCTGAGTCGTCCTTTTGCAGTTTCTCATTGAAAAACCGGTCATACCTCTTAACAAACCTGTTCATAGAACTAGAGGGTTTCACAAACATTTTGAACACATGGTTTGCAGACTCACTTCTTTGCGTAGTAGTCATCCCAGCAAAGAACCTATGGGCAAAATATACAAACGCCCATTTGCGCCTTATGTCCCAAATGTGACGCAAATATACACTGTTTTCTAGTTGGTAATCACTAATCAGTTTGTGCCAAGCAGCTTCAAAGTCCTCCTCTGTCAGTGTCTGCGTGAGAACCTTGTGAAATGCTTTCTTGAATGATCGACGCTTCGAGTAGATGTTCCCCATAAATTCTTTTGCTTTCTTCAGAACGTGCCACTTGCACACACGATGGATTGTGTTGGGAAATACCTTTCGAATGGCAGCTGCCATTGAAGGACAGTTGTCTGCAATAAAAAGGTCAAATACTTACAATAAGCACAGTAAACTTTGAAATCCTATCGAACTCTGAAAACGACCAAATACGCGCATACCTGTTAAAATTCCAATAGGTTCCTTCCCATTCATGCACTCTTTGAATGTCTCGAACAACCATGCAAACGATTCTTTGGTCTCTTCTCTCAGCAGGGCACACCCAAAGAAGGTACTCTAAAAGTGATTGTTTACCCC